CGTCATAGGGCCCCTCGTGATTCCTTCCAACGAGATCTCGCGACTCTGTGACGGGAATGGCGACAATTTCCTTGAGGAAATAGAGTACCGCACCTGCTTTACCGTCCCCGCCTATATGTCCGAGCAAACTTTTAAAGAGTTTGATAAAAACAGTGAGTATCGAGGGAGAATTGCCTCTCTAGCCAAGTTGTTGTGTCTTGTCTTCATTTAGATTTGATGACTTTAAAAATTACTCGAAAGAACTCCCTGGAAATAAAGAGGTCATCATAGTTAAAAAGAAAGAAAAAAGTGTCAAAAATGAAACGTCACTTTTTAAAATCTATTTAAAATTTAAGAAGTCATGGATATTATGTAGGCATAGACATCTCGCTTTTTACTGAAAAAAATATTGTGATAATCACATGCTCTGATTTACTCTCAAGGTGACGGGAAGTTGGGGGAGGCGGAGGCTACCTCATTGAAAATCATTCTGACAGGTAAGTTACACATGGATGGTCAATAATGAATTATTTTTCCCAATTTATATTGACCCATGTTCCACTTACCGGTAGATATATATAAGCTAAACACTGATCTTCAAACTTGTGTAAGAAATACACCAATATATTAAGAGCTCTAAATGCTTTATTTTTCACTTCCTTGAAAAAAAATCCACGCTTATATTAGTACAATTTATACTTTTATGATAGTTCAGTTTTTCATATTAAAATAAAAGCAATTGAATGGTCATAAAACAGTTTACTAAATGGCATAATTAGCACATCTTTCTTTCGCAGGCGGCGCAGACTGCTACAAGACGACGATAAAGCGGTGCACACTGCAGGCGCTGCTCACGTTGAGAGCCACTCTGAACATTTATAACGCTTCTCAGGTAGGAACATGTGCCGTCTGTCATCATTGCCTTGGTTGTGATTTATTGAAACATTCTTTATTCATTTATTTATGGTCACAATTAAGGTCGACGTCCTTGCTCGTGCGCCAATTCTTCTTTCGACGACATATTTGTATTTATTTTAACAAATAACTTAAAGTTGACTTTCAACTTGGTAAAACGTTACTTAGTCATTGTGCACATCTTAGCTGTCCATCGTGTTGTCGTCGATTTTTTTTTTTTTTTTTTTTTTTTTACATCTAATCTGGGTTCTGTTTTCCATTGGACGAGGAACCTCACGCGTTATGACTTTATAAGAAAATTAATAAGTTTTTTCTTTTGTATTTATTGAGTTGCTATTTAATAATTATCCAAATGAAGCTCTCCACTTCCTTCAGAGGGAAGATATATAGTATCAGTTTACATTGGCTGATATTTTGACCCTTCTTGAATAAATGACGAGTAGATGCGTTAGTTGAGACAAACGTATTCTTGGTCACAATTACCTGAAGGTTTTCTTGTTTCAGGAATACACCACTTGCCTGGCGGCTCCCGAGTGCCACGAGTCTGATTTGGAAGCGTACAGTTTCGTCGTGACACGTTTCATTGATGATCTTTCTAACAGTGGGGAATTTTGCGGACATTTAGGTAGGAAGTAATATATTTTACGTCATTTTGAAACTTGTTAACAAGCAGTGAAACGTGTTTGGAAAAAAATACGTGTTTTACTATCTTTGTTAAAATCTTACTCTAAGGTATTGTTTCTAATACGTTAATAAAAATACCTTTATAAAATAGCAGGTGGAAAGTAAATTAACTTGATTGTTTTTTTTT